TCTCCTCCCCCTTCCCAATCCCCTCTCTCACCCCGCCTCTTCGCGGACTGCTGTACTCTACCCGAGCGAGAGTGCGCGAGCGGGCTTACCGCTGTCAAGATAGGCTGTGTAGTGGCCTTGGCTCGCCGGGGAGCCGGGGCGTCACAAGGTGACATCGAGAGGTGACGGAAATACGGTCGCTATGTTCGTCTCATTGTGTCACTGTTGTTATTGCGCGCTCTGCAACACCCTTACGGGGGTGGGGGGAGCTGTGTGTGTGTGTGTGTGTGTGTGTGTGTGTGTGTGTGTGTGTGTGTGTGTGTGTGTGTGTGTGTGTGTGTGTGTGTGTGTGTGTGTGTTGGAAGGAAGGTGCGTGCATGCTGATAGTGTGTGGGGGTGTTAAAAGAGTGTATGTTGAAGGAGAAAAAGAGTATAAGTGTGTGTGTGTGTTTCAAATATCCTCATAGCCAACCGGTGAGACATCCTCCAAGATGCGTCATCCGGAGATGGGATCAACTTTAACATGTACTCAAAACTTGGATGGGGTTGAGGACCAACCCGCTCGTTCAGGTAATAGGTCGCATTTTGTACGTTATAATAACCATGGTTACAAATGCAACCTACTAAGAAAAAGTAACCGCTCGTAAACATCTACGTTTTCTATGCCTCGGAGTGATAGGTGGGTTGATTGGGTTCATGCATTAGGGGTTAGGTTAGGAGGATGGATTTTATGCGTAATGACAAATCAAGATAACGGGCTGCAACAACAACGACAAGAAGAGCAGCCACACGAATGACAGTTCCAACGAAATTGCAATTGTCATTCGAAAATTGCAACAATTACAACGAAATCAACATCTCTAGCAACATCACCATCACAAACGGTAACAGTGACTCTATACAAACGGCAAACATCAGTAGGTATATACACGCCTACAACAGGAAAAATACCCGTGTTTTTTAGTAACAATTTTTTTCAGGGGAAACAAAATACATAACAGATGTCGCAAAATAAGAAATTAGAACAGATTTCTTAGGGAAATAGTTTAGGAAAACCTGAGGATGTGTCTTTAAGATTCAGGCGTACAAGGCAGCCCAGTATTTCACGAGCTACGATACATCTCCTTCAGTGCCAGACGATGTGACTAATCACCTCATCTCTTCAACAGTAATGAGCAATTAGCTAGTTGGTCTGCGCCGGGTGAACAAAGTAGGCATGGAGCGAGGATGTCTTTCTACGTGTGTTTACAGGGAACGAGCTTCAGCTCCTTGGACCCCACCTTTTTCTTAGCTGGCAGTTATCTAAATACAGTAATTCCCTACCCTATCACTTTTGTTATATCTAATTTTGAATTTGGAGTTTGCCTCATCTATCTAACTCATTTTGCTTGATGAATAAGGCTTGTTTCTCATGATTCTTATGATTAGATGATTTCCATTCGTGTCGTCTCATCATGTTGCTTAAGAATCTCATAACTGTCTCCCACTTTTCTCCATCTTTCTAAGATTGCTTTGTTTTTATCTTTCCATAAACATCAAACTCATTAATGACAAATATGAAGGTGAAGGAAAGACCCAATATTTGTGTAAGTGTATTAAAAAACAAATTTTCGAACGAATGGAGCCTACAACTTTTCTCAGTGTACTGTATACAATGATCAAAACATTGTATACAGTACCTTGTATACAATATATGTACACTGTATACATTTGTGTATAATGTTTACAATGTTAAGAACATTGTATGCAGCCCCTTGAGAAAGGCTGTTGGTTACATCCATAAATTTGATTTTTAATACACTTACACATATATTTGGTCTTCGCCGTCATTCAAGCACTACAGCACTGTAGTAAGTTTCTTCAGGGACAACTATCTGAAGTTTACCATGATTCCTTTTATCGTTGACGAGATGACGGCTCTCTGCTGACGCTTCTAACTGGAGTAGTAGTCTGACGTACGTGATATACAATGCTTTGTAAACAATCATTGTTTTAGTTTCTGAGGGCTATTCTGATGCGTGTCAGCTTTTCATAAGACATTGATGTATGATAGTTATTCAAGCATTTGGAGATAATCTAAGCATAATTTAAATCTCTAGGTGTATTTCCTTTTCTTTAGCTAGCAAATGATTCCTGTTTAGTATGTATACTGTTAAGTATGTACACTGTTTAGAATAACAGTGAGCTCTGTCAATAACCAAAGAGCTCTGACTCTTTGGTCCCGCCTCTCAACTGTCAATCAACTAATGTACAGATTCCTGAGCCTACTGGGTTCTATCATAGAATTGAACGTGTGTGTGTGTGTGTGCTCACCTAGTTGTACTCACCTAGTTGTGCTTGCGGGGGTTGAGCTCTGGCTCTTTGGTCCCGCCTCTCAACTGTCAATCAACAGGTGTACAGGTTCCTGAGCCTATTGGGCTCTATCATATCTACACTTGAAACTGTGTATGGAGTCAACCTCCACCACATCACTTCCTAATGCATTCCATTTGTCAACCACTCTGACACTAAAAAAGTTCTTTCTAATATCTCTGTGGCTCATTTGAGCACTCAGTTTCCACCTGTGTCCCCTAGTGCGTGTGCCCCTTGTGTTAAACAGCCTGTCTTTATCAACCCTGTCGATTCCCAACTTGTGTGTGTGTGTGTGTGTTTGTGTGTGTATAAAATATGTAGTAAATATGATAGAGGAAAATATGTCAGGGGGTCAGTACATTAGACAGTCGAGAGTTAGAAAAGCGGGGTCGAAGAGCTTAACAGCTCGATCGTGCAGGCAGACGTAGTACACACACACACACACACACACACACACACACACACACACACACACACACACACACACACACACACACACACGCACACACGCACACACACACGCACACACACACACACACACACACACACACACACACACACACACACACACACGAGCCAAGGAAGTACCCCATGGGGAGGCCTTCAGAATGTTTGTTGACTTCCTGTCCTTATCTTTCAAGCTAGCTCGAATGCCTGTCATTCGTTGTTTATTTATTCTTTTTATTTTTATAATAAATGTGTATATATATATATATATATATATATATATATATATATATATATATATATATATATATATATATATATATATATGCACACACACATATGTTCAAGGGGTACTCAGTGATTAAGGGGTCTGTCTCCCTCTCATTCCCTCCCTCACAACAATGTGACACATGTGTCAATATCAATCATATCTCAGTGTTAATCGCGTGTCATTATGTATCATTTAGCAGTATATATGTCACTATGCACCCCGTGTGTCAGTGTATATCACGGGTGTCAGGTGGTGTTCAGCAAGAACATGTTTCAAAAAGCTTTGGAATATTCTCTTGTTTAACGCCAACCTATTGAGGAAGTGGGGGCGGGAGAGGGATATACTGGATGTTTACCCAGTGTTGATAAAGGTATTAACACATATTTGCGTATTACAAACGAAGTATGATAGAATTGTTTCGACAATTTTATGGAGATCATTGCATAATGTTTACTATATGGGAAAAAATATAAATTTTTGGATTTTTGTTTTAAGTTTTAAAGGGCGAGCTAGTCCCATAGTCGCCTAGAGGATCACAGGGGTCCTTATGGCACCGTGCCACACGACACTCGTTTGATTTGTGCCAACTCTCTCAGACACATTTTCAGATATATATATGCGCGCGTGCGTGTGCACGTGGGTCACCATGCATCTATATCAAGGAATATGTACACATCTAACTCTAAGTACCAAATTGTGCCTTAGTTCTTGGGCTCCATTCCTTTTCAGCTGTCGGTTGTCTGAAGCAATGATTCCCGACCCCCAGAGGTCGGGAGTGTGGGGGGGGGGAGCCGGGTCGCACCCGACACACAAGGTCAGGAAGAGAAAGCAGGAAAACTGTTCACTTTAAATAGACGCCACGATAAGATGTTCTGGTTGACGTGTCCGTCCTCTGGTGTTGTGTTGTGTATACATCTTGGTACACTTACAAGGGTCGTCAAGTGCGCCTCTTGGTACACTTACAAGGGTCGTCATGTGCAGCTCTTGGTACACTTACAAGGGTCGTCATGTGCAGCTCTTGGTACACTTACAAGGGTCGTCATGTGCAGCTCTTGGTACACTTACAAGGGTCGTCATGTGCAGCTCTTGGTACACTTACAAGGGTCGTCATGTGCAGCTCTTGGTACACTTACAAGGGTCGTCAAGTGCAGCTCTTGGTACACTTACAAGGGTCGTCAAGTGCGATCCACAAGTGACTTACATGCTGTTGTCTGTACAAATTGCGTTTATATTTTCCTCAGACACTTTAGACAATTCAAAATGATTTAGAATTTAGTGTTTTTCTGTTTGTGTGTGTGTGTGTGTGTGTGCTTTTATAAGTAGTATGCTTTATTTCGTATATACTGTATGAACTTACACTGTGGTTACCAGGGTATTACATTCCTTAATTTGTCTCTATTTAGTTTGTGATCTATTAGCTACTGTATTTTTTTAATTTTACAATTTATATAATTCTCAAATGAACCATACACATATTCTGATGTTTGTTATGATAAGCTACAAATTTGCATTTAGCTTACTTTATTGTAGCTGTGTGTGTGTGGTTTATTCTGAGTTGTCATTATTAAGTTAAGCTTGTGGACTTTAGTTCAATTCAGTATTGTGTTTATGCTTCCTAAGGCTTCATGCGCCCACCTTCACCAATAGCACTACTTCCCACCTGCTTCCCACCCACTGGTCACTCACTCACTGCACACCCACTGGCCACCCACTCAAGGCACACTCACTGGCCACCCACTCAAGGCACACTCACTGGCCACCCACTCAAGGCACACTCACTGGCCACCCACTCACCCCACACTCACTGGCCACCCACTCACCCCACACTCACTGGCCACCCACTCAAGGCACACTCACTGGCCACCCACTCACCCCACACCCACTCACTCGTCCTTATGCTTTCAGTCTTTAAGACTCCCTGACTAGAGCTATTCATTCCTTCCCCCAACAGCTTTGCAGGAACTTGGTCTGGACGAGTCGACCCTTCTGAGCGAGATCGAACAGATTCTCGGCTTCGGTTCGCTGTCTCGGAACCGAACGGAGAAACCGACCAACACAACTTCCTCCTCCTCTTCTCGGCCGGATTCGTTCGAAAAACCGGTTAAGTTGGAAAAGCCGAACGAGAGGAAGCCTGGCGGAGAGAAGCCACGTGTTCCGGAACGCGATTCGAGCAAAGGTGAAGCCTCGCTGTTTATATCATGTTCCTCCCTTGAAGGTATCGAGGGCGAACGTGATTTTTCTGTTCACTTTTTCTGTTAATGTGACGCTGTGATTCCTGACCTCAGGCTGGGGCCGGGTGTGTTAGTCTACCTACGTTATGAATACTAACATTATGGTTGATGAATATATTCGTGAATAATGAAGCCGGATATGTGTGTGTGTGTCCTCCGCTTTTAACGGCCTCGGAGTGGATTAACCAATCAGCTTGACTAAGCTTCAGTTATTAAATTAAGCTTCAGCTCAGTGAACTTGAAGAGCAGGTGGATTCAGGTAAATGAGCCTGAGTTTACTGAGCTTGAGCTGAAGCTTCGTGCCCTCGCGTCCTGTCAAGCTTAGGCTGGGCACTAACATTTTGTGTGTGTCAGTCAGTCTCTGTTTCACTCTTATTCTCTCTTTCTCTCTCTTTCTCTCTCTCTCTCTCTCTCTCTCTCTCTCTCTCTCTCTCTCTCTCTCTCTCTCTCTCTCTCTCTCTCTCTCTCTCTCTCTCTCTCTCTCTCTCTCTCTCTCTCTCTCTCTCTCTCTCTCTCTCTCTCTCTCTCTCTCTCTCTCTCTCTCTCTCTCTCTCTCTCTCTCTCTCTCTCTCTCTCTCTCTCTCTCTCTCTCTCTCTCTCTCTCCTCCCCCTATAATACACCAACGGGCATTATAGTAATAGGTTTATGAAGGTCTAACATATAACATACTCACCTGTGACTAACCTTTCTCCCAACATTCCTAAAGGAAATAATATAATTACAATCTATATTCTCCCATCATATCCATTGTATTATACAGAAACTCATCTTCCGCATACTTCTAACTCATCATACTTAACTCATCTTGCCTTCATGTATATTTTGCGTAACTTTACACCATTATTTGCAAAATATGTTTTAAGTAACCTAACAACTATGCATGATCGACTGGGCTCGTGTCGAGACTTGAGGTTAAAAGCAAACTTAACAACACTGTATGCTGGAACATGACTCCTGTTCGTAGCCTGTATGTTGCCTGCTGCTGCTGCTGTGTGTGTACTCGCATATTTGTGCTTGCGAGGGTTGAGCTTTGGCTCTTTGATCCCGCCTCTCAACCGTCAATCAACTGGTGTACAGATTCCTGAGCCTACTGGGCTCTATCATATCTACATTTGAAACTGTGTATGGAGTCAGCCTCCACCACATCACTCCCTAGTGCATTCCATTCCATGAATGTTGGTGTGTGTTTGTGTTGGTAGGTATGTGGTATGTGGGCCCCCCCGCTTTAAAGCATGGCATTGTCTAATCACATAGCAGGAACCTGTCAATACGATGGTTCAGGTATTGTGTATAATCATACAACAGTAGTAGTCTATCGCTGCAGAGACATTGAAGCAGTTGTCGACGAGGCCTTGCACTGGGGTAGGGTAAGTTCCAGTTTCTTGTAATTTTCAGTGTGAAGACAATTCAGGTTATGTTTTATGTATTTTATGTTAAGTGAAATGAATATGGGGAATGTTAAATTGATTCTTATGGACAGACTGCCGTTGTAGGGATAGAATGGGAGACATAGTCAATGTAGAGAGAGAGAGAGAGAGAGAGAGAGAGAGAGAGAGAGAGAGAGAGAGAGAGAGAGAGAGAGAGAGAGAGAGAGAGAGAGAGAGAGAGAGAGAGAGAGAGTGGGAGAGAATGTCTGGATTACAATGTAAGGTTTCATATTCTTCTATCGATTACTGTATTATATATTATTCATAATTTAGGTCCTCAGTATTTTGTAAACGTGTTTCATTCTTCACAGCTACACTGATTTTTGTTTACAGTATTGTGTATTGGTTGATGAGGCGTCTTTCAACGAACTTTTAAATTTCTCCTTAAAATATTTACTTAAATATAGTTCATTTATTTATTGACTACGGTTTAATTCCCGTAGTCTCTCCTCGTAGCTCATACCTCTCAGCTCGGGTACTAGTCTAGTGGCAAACCTTTGAACCTTTTCCAGTTTAGTCTTATCCTTGACTATAGATATAGACTTCATGCTGGGGGCTGCATACTCCAGGATTGGCCTGACATATGTGGTATACAAAGTTCTGAATGATTCCTTACACAAGTTTCGGAATGCCGTTCTTATGTTGGCCAGCCTGGCATATGCCGCTGATGTTATCCTCTTGATATAGGCTGCAGGAGACAGGTTTGGTGTGATATCAACTCCTAGATCTTTCTCTCTGTCTGTTTCATTAAGTACTTCATCTCCTATTCTGTATCCTGTGCCTGGCCTCCTGTTTCCACTGCCTAGTTTCATTACTTTGCATTTACTCGGGTTGAACTTCAACAGCCATTTGTTGGACCATTCACTCAGTCTATCCAGGTCATCTTGTAGCCTCCTACTATCATCCTCTGTTTCAATCCTCCTCATAATTTTTGCATCGTCGGCAAACATTGAGAGGAACGAATCTATACCCTCTGGGAGATCATTTACATATACCAGAAACAGTATAGGTCCAAGGACTGACCCCTGCGGGACTCCACTTGTGACGTCTCGCCAATCTGAGACCTCACCCCTCACACAGACTCGTTGTCTCCTGTTGCTTAGGTATTCCTCTATCCACCGGAGTACCTTCCCTCTCACTCCAGCCTGCATCTCCAACTTTCGCACTAGCCTCTTGTGTGGCACTGTATCAAAGGCTTTCTGACAATCCAAAAATATGCAGTCTGCCCACCCTTCTCTTTCTTGCCTTATTTTTGTTGCCTGGTCGTAGAATTCAAGTAACCCTGTGAGGCAGGACCTGCCATCCCTGAACCCATGTTGATGCTGTGTTACAAAGTTCCTTCGCTCCAGATGCTCCACTAGTTTTTTTCGCACAATCTTCTCCATCAGCTTGCATGGTATGCAGGTTAGGGACACTGGCCTGTAGTTCAGTGCCTCCTGTCTATCCCCTTTCTTGTATATCGTGTGTGTGTGTGTGTGTGTGTGTGTGTGTGTGTGTGTGTGTGTGTGTGTGTGTGTGTGTGTGTGTGTGTGTGTGTGTGTGTATGTGACGAGTTCCCTGTGTGCTCTGTTTATTATCTTGCCAGCACCGCCTAGCAACCAATACTTTAAACTAATAGGTCACGATTTTTTTTTTACCTTCTGCGCTAAAAAGTAACGGCTCACGAACATTCACGTTTTCTATTCACTGGACTCGAGAGATTAGGCGGGGTTCGAACGCTTCTGGTTAGGCTAAAAGGTTGGATTTTTGAACGAAATGGCAAGTCTAGAGAAGACGGCTGGCCAGAGATGGCTATCTTGTGGGCGCCATCTCTTATCTTCGTATGGGATTTGTCGGGTATTTAACTGTCGTGTTTATCTCTTCCCCCTTTGATGCCTTTTCCTATTTATTTTCCCCTTGTTTTCCTTTTCTTCTTTTTATTTTATTTTATTATTTTTTTAGTTTTTTATCCGTGATGTTTTTATTATTTATTTTGTATTATTTGTATTTGTTATTTATTTTGCATTTTTAATTATTATGTTTATGAGAATTGTTATTTACGCAAACACCAGAAACATCGTCATCAAATTCGTCATCATGTCAAAAATATTCATATTCTTTTTTCCACTTCGGTCTGTTTTTTTAACAGAAGATTTAATATTTCACATAGAGAAATTACATTGGTTTATTTGGCCTCACTGAGTGCAATTTTCACTTGTTTGTACCTGGCAGCAGTTGGCACACCTGGGATGGTGATTCCACTGGTTAGCTTAATTACCACGAGAGTGAAGAAGCAGCTCGTGTTCTCTGTCCTATATTGTTGAGCTTGAAGCTGTTGCCTCCTGTGCCAGTTCTTTCTTTCAACATAAGTGGTTTGGATTACAGTCTTCTAATCGGTTGAGTGTGTTATGAGGTTTGGATGAGAACAGCCTTGTTGTGTCTGGTTTTCTTGTCCTGAACCCCTGAATTTTGTCCTGATTTGAGGGTTGACTTAGTTATGGAATCTGTTTTGTCGTTCTGTATTTACACTTTTTCCAGATCAGTTATATCTTTTTTAAATTGAGGTGTCCTTGTAGTTATGTAGTAGTCCAGACGGAGGCGCACCACAGATTTTGTACAGTTAAATAAATAGCTTATTTTCCGTGAAGTCAAAAATTTGTTTATTCAACAACGTTTGATTGGCTCACATTTACTGTCAGCTGCTGCTTGGTGAGCAGCTTTCAGTGAGTGGTGAAGCATGACTCTCAGGTCCTTTCATCAGTCTGCTAGTTATGGAGGTCCTGCCCGGAAACGCTGTGTGCGTTAGTGGTTTTACAAGAAAATAAAAACATCATTGATATGTACTCTCATAAACCCAATGTATCTTCTTATGTGTATATGTATATATAAATAAATCAATAATTACATGTATTGGTATGCCCTACATTTAAGGGCTTATATTTTTAAATTATTACAAGTATTTGCCAGTCTTCTGCCCATTTGTGGAGTTCATGTTGATGATCGCATTGCAAGACCTCAATACCGTTTACCTCTCTCACTTCACCATAGATTTTGTTTATTTTACACATTAAATGATTTCCCTGGTGATATTCTCATGTAGTTCCTGTACACTACAACAACTGTTGACCAGGAGGTGAGACCTTGAGGTACTCTGCTCACAACATTATTCCCATCGCTTTAATTTCCATTTAGGACGACACTCTGATCGTTGTTGTAACCATTTGTTATTTCCGTTTTGCTTTCGTCTTTCGTGTGGAATCTCATCAAAAGCTTATAGTAGTCCATGTTGGCTATATCAACTGGAAGTCCATTTTCTCTGTTACCGTTTTAAACACTTGGGCAAGTTAGTTAGGAAGAATTTTTCTTTTCGAAACCATGTTGTGTTGCTATTACAAGAGTGTCCCCTCTGATATCTTGAGGTTATCTTGAGATGATTTCGGGGCTTTTAGTGTCCCCGCGGTCCGGTCCTCGACCAGGCCTCCACCCCCAGGAAGCAGCCCGTGACAGCTGACTAACACCCAGTTACCTATTTTACTGC